AAAGAGAAAGTGAGCTAGTGAGCTGAGCACAGCCTTTATCTCTTTCCCCTTCCCGACTGTGGACAGGCTGTGACCAGTTGCTTCACAGTCCTGCCACCTTGATGGACTGGACCCCCCAGCTGTGAGCCAAAACAAACCCATCCTTGCATTGCTTTTGTCAGGGATTTTGTCACAGCAGTTAGAAAAACAGTGAATACCCCTCCCACTCCTCCTCTGTGCTGAACCCTCTCTTGAGCAGCATTCGTATTGAAGCCATGCTGTCCCAGTAAATGCCATCATGTATCTACATATCTACTATGTACCTATGTAGATCCCTGATTACTTTTCAGTTGTGTAGTGTCTACAAGTATGTCCTCTCTTCCCAGTGAGAGGCCAGGCGTCTTAGGTGAAGGGTGTGGTCTTTTCAGTCTCCTTCAGTATGTCTTGGAGCAGCAGTAATGAGTTCTTCCCAGTGAGAGGCCAGGCATCTTAGGTGAAGGGTGTGTCTTTGGTCTTCTCCACTATGCCCTACAGCAGCACATAGTGAGTTGCCTCCATAACAGCTTTCCATAAATGTGTGTTGAGGCAATGAATGCTTGCCCAGGTGTGGGCCTGTGTGTGGCTCTCAGAACATATATGCACATTCCTCCTGGATTCCCTACTCGTCTGATCTTTTATTTCCGTAGACACTCTAGAGGAGAGATCACTAGAAAGATCTTTGCTTTAAAGGTAGGAAAGCTGGGATCCAGAAAGTTTGTGTGACATAGCTAACATGACATATCTGATGGTGGCTAAACAATGGTTCAAATAACAATTCTGTCGTCTTTCTGAATGAAGAACACCACTGTATTTTCTTTTATCTTTAGCAAGTTACAGAGGTTTTTGTTACTGCTAATTGACGAACAAGTGATCTATAAAAAATTGTATTAGCAAAAAAGGAAACCATTGATGTAAAGTATAAAATTTTATAAAACTGTTAGCTGTATGAGAAATTCTAAAAATTAATAATTCAAGCTAATTATTTGTGGAAAATCTTCCCTTGAACTCACTGGCAGGAAAGAAAGTACTGTGTTTATTCCAGGAGCCAAGAGCTCTACGTGAAGAACTAGGGTGGCCAGAGGGAACCGAGGGCAATGCAGGGCTAAGGTTCACGCTCACCTCTGGTTTCTTTTTTTGTTTTTGTTTGCTTGTTTGGAGTTTGTTGTTGTTGTTGTTTGTTATTGTTTTGAGACAGGGAGACCTCCCTGTAGCCCTGGACGGCTGGAACTCACTAAGTAGAGCAGGCTGGCCTCAATCTCACAGATTCCCCTGTGTCTGTCTCCCAGTGATGAGACTAAAGACCTGTGCTACCTGCCCACCCACTTCCGGTTTCTTACTGTCTACCCTTAAGTCACTGGGTTTTTCATTCCTCCCCTTTTAGAAAGCACAAAACTATGGCTTCAATTTAGAAATGAAGTCTGTAGGATTACTTATGGAGTTAGGAAAGGACACGTCCTAAGTATAAACGGTTGCGGGCATTTCCCAGGCTTCATGCTGTTGTGCTGTGGATCCCCTTGCTGTCCACTGAAGCTTACTAGCTGTTTCTCAGAATAATATTTCTTGTTTTTCATGTAGACACTCTAGAGGAGAGATCACTAGAAAGATTTTTGCTTTAAAGGTAGGAAAGCTGGGATCCAGAAAGTTTGTGTGACATAGCTAACATGACATAGCTGATGGTGGCTAAACAATGGTTCAAATAACAATTCTGTCGTCTTTCTGAATGAAGAACACCACTGTATTTTCTTTTATCTTTAGCAAGTTACAGAGGTTTTTGTTACTGCTAATTGACGAACAAGTGATCTATAAAAAATTGTATTAGCAAAAAAGGAAACCATTGATGTAAAGTATAAAATTTTATAAAACTGTTAGCTGTATGAGAAATTCTAAAAATTAATAATTCAAGCTAATTATTTGTGGAAAATCTTCCCTTGAACTCACTGGCAGGAAAGAAAGTACTGTTTATTCCAGGAGCCAAGAGCTCTACGTGAAGAACTAGGGTGGCCAGAGGGAACTGAGGGCAATGCAGGGCTAAGGTTCACGCTCACCTCTGGTTTCTTTCTTTGTTTTTGTTTTTTTTGTTTGGAGTTTGTTGTTGTTGTTGTTTGTTATTGTTTTGAGACAGGGAGACCTCCCTGTAGCCCTGGACGGCTGGAACTCACTAAGTAGAGCAGGCTGGCCTCAATCTCACAGATTCCCCTGTGTCTGTCTCCCAGTGATGAGACTAAAGACCTGTGCTACCTGCCCACCCACTTCCGGTTTCTTACTGTCTACCCTTAAGTCACTGGGTTTTTCATTCCTCCCCTTTTAGAAAGCACAAAACTATGGCTTTAATTTAGAAATGAAGTCTGTAGGATTACTTATGGAGTTAGGAAAGGGCACGTCCTAAGTATAAACGGTTGCAGGCATTTCCCAGGCTTCATGCTGTTGTGCTGTGGATCCCCTTGCTGTCCACTGAAGCTTACTAGCTGTTTCTCAGAATAATATTTCTTGTTTTTCATGTTATGTGTATAAGTGTTTTGCGTGCAGAAAAATATTTCTAAGTGAACAATATGAAAACTGCAGAAATGTAGTTGTTGAAACATTTTAAGAACAAATGAGCTGGGCTGGAGAGATGGCTTAGCGGGTAAAGGCACCTGCCATCGACCTGATAACCTGAGTATGATTCCTGGAACCCACATGACGGAAGGAGAGAACTGACTCCCACAGGTTGTCCTCTGACCTCCACATGCATGCCATGGAGTGTGCATACACACACGCACACACAGATAAAAATGTATAAAAAGAGAGAAAGCTAGTGGGTATCAGCAACTACTATTTAAAAATGTTTTAAAAGAACAAATGAATGGCATCATAATGAACATATGCTTTTAAATTAGTGCATAGGTAATAAGATCTCATATAGGGATTAATACCTAGTAATTTCAGAGTAGTGTGTCTTGCTCTGTTCCAGCTGGCAGTAAAATACCATAACCACTATGTGGATTAAGCAGCAGTACTGAAGGCTCTAAATCCAAGGCCTTCTCTCTCTCCTCTCCTCTCCTTCTAGAGTCTCTAATCACAGAGACTGCTGCCAATTCTGTTATTTACTTATGTAGATCATAGAAGGAAATGGTAACTTTCAGGTAGAGAATAGTCAAAGTAAAGATAGGAATTTCTTTTTTCAGCCACTGTGAATTTATATTCAGGGACCCAGGCACCGGAGGTTAAAACCCCCCAATACAGGTTATGCTAGATGTTCTTATAAGCAAGCACATGGGTATAACCTGAGGGTGGTGGGAACAGTTTCTGAAGTCAGCAATTCTGCCCATAGCTGGTTCCCCAAGAAGCAGTAAGTGTGCTGA